AAACTAAAAAGGAAAAAAAAAAAAAAAGTAATATTCTAGTATTGAACATTTTGAGAAACCAGCCCAGGCCGGTCCCATTTTGCATAAGTTTTTGGAAGCTGTGTCATAAAGAGCACACATTTCCCATAGCATTCTGAATCAACAACAAGATAGCAAAACAGACCATGTGTATAGCCAACAGTGTGCCATGAAACAAAGCTGAACACCTAAAAACTATGTTTAAAACTGAAATAGTGCCCCATGTCCTGTAAAACGGACAATATAACGTAAGCGTACTCATGAAGTTTTACACATTTCTGACTTGCTTGTGCTGTGGACTCCCCGGCTAGTGCACCTCTAGTGGCGCGCGCGGCCTCCTCAGCAGTCTGCAGCCTCAGACCGCTGTGCTGCTCCAAAGCTCCGCCTTCACACAGCTGAAGTCTACGCAGCTTCCACCACCTGGTCTTACTCTACCTTTGACACAGAAAGGACATAAAAAGATACGTCCCAAATAAAACCTAAAGCCAGTATCTTGACTTAGAACTACTGCACATTAAGCAGATAATTTAATGACTTAATTAAATTACTAACTTATTAAATTAATAGTATCTTTTAAAGTTCTCTAATAAAGTTGGAGCTCATGTCTTTTTTTCTAATTTCCCTGGAGCGAGCAGAACTATTTCAATGACATAATCATAAAACAATGTTGAAGTGGACGTTAATGACATTTCTTCAACTTAGACCTCTCTCTTAAAGAGCTGGCAGAACACTCCTTTACCTTGCCTGCCTCCTCACTTGGCTTAATCCTGCACGAGGTCAAATCCTTAGAGGGATACCTGGGTGTAGGGATGGAAGATCACGAGGCTTCACTGAAAAACCAAACATTTACTAGAACACTGAGCTCATTCAAAAGGTTGGAACAAGCGTGAGACTGAGTAGATCGTGAAACGTGCTCTTCAAGAATGGAAGTGCACAAACGAGTGGAGCAGTGACTTGCGCAAAGAGCAGAAAGCTGGAGAGACCTCGTATTCGCTTAAAATTCCGACTTCTAGTGTATTAACCTTTGCCTTTAAAAAAACTACCTGAAGAGTCCATGAACATAATTTAAAAATCAAGTTAGGGCTTCCATTTCTAGAAACTTCAAACAACTCTATCCATTGAAACAACTGACATCCTGGGTAAAAGTGAAACATATTTTTAAGAGTGCACTGTTGAATCAGACAAACCCAAACTGAGAGACCTTCTACCAAACAGCTGGGCCACTGTACTTCAAAAAAGCTCAACAGCATGAATGATAAAGACAGAAGTGGCTCCGGACTGAAGAACCCTGAAATAGGACGTAAGTGCAGGGTATGATCCTGGATCAGAAAAAGGATACTAGTTGGAACAGCATGAATGATAAAGACAGAAGTGGCTCCGGACTGAAGAACCCTGAAATAGGACGTAAATGCAGGGTATGATCCTGGATCAGAAAAAGGATACTAGTTGCACATTCACTGACTTTGAACAAAGTCTATAAATTAGGTAATGGTATTGTATTAATATTAATTTCTTTATTTTGGTAGTTTTCATTATATAAATGTTAACATTTGGAGAAACAGGGTGAAGGGTATGTGGAAGTTTAGATTTTTAAAAAAACAGTAAAATTATTTCAAAATGAAAAGTTAAATTTTTTAAAAAAACATTAAGACATTAAGAATAATGCATTGTCCACATAGTAGTGAAAGGAGGTGCCTGTTAGGCCAAAAATAAAGTGCAGTTAACAACTCCTGGAGATAACAGGTAGCATCAAAGCAAGCTTCTGCCTGGAGACTTTCTGCTGAAGCCTTAAGATACTGGGCTTTTCCCTTCACAGCTTCAAAACATGTAGGAAACAAAAACTACAGACTGCAACTCCACTCAAGGTGGGGAGTCAAGCAGGGGAACTTCACATAACACTGAAACCCCAAAGGCTCAACTGCCCAGTTTAAAGGTAATGGGAAATAAATCTGCAATGAAAATGGGACAGGAAAAAAGCCTGGCCTGGGGGGTTTCTTAACCACATGAGGACCAGCCACAAGATGACTGTGTAGGTTTATAACCCAAAATCACATTTCCTGTGTGATCCAGAGACCTAAAGAGAATTTAAAGAGGCTGTGAATCTGTAGTGCTCCCATTTCACCTTGCAGAGGCAAACCACTCTCTCTCAGTGGAATACAACTGCACGTCAGTCCTCAAACACCTCCCATAATAAAGTTCCCAGAAAACTAGTAGCTCACAGTTAAAAAGCACGAAACACACAAGGAAACAAGGTAACATGAGTGAGAAACTGCAGAAAAATCACTAAAATTAAAAGCTCATGAATTAAAGAGCAGAAAAGGCATAGCTGGAGGGAACATTTGAGAGCTGGAAGATACTTATGAGAAAATATTCTGAATATTTCAAGCCCAAAGAGGAAGAAATGGAAAACATGAAATAAGAAGGTAAGAACAGGAATAAGAAGATCTAACACTTCTGATCTGAGTTCAAGAAGTAGTCAAAAAGGGAAGGAAGCATTATTCAGAGATGTTGGCTGAGATTTTTCAGAGGGAATAGCCTTACCAGATACTAAAGAAAGCTATTATACTTAGAACAGTATGGGACAGTGTAAGTCCACAAAGAAATAGAAGAGAACATGAAAGTCCAAAAACAGACCCAAGAACATTTGGAAATTTAGTATTTGACAAAGGCAGCACCCAAATCACTGGTGACTTGAGATGGCATTGGGCCAATTGGATAGCCCTTTGGAAAAAGATCAAGTCGGACCCGTACCTCACACCATACAATGGAATAAACTTCAGATGAATCAGATCTGAATGTAAAATATCAAAGCAGAGGATTCTGGAAAGGTGGTGGCAACAGGTGGCATAGTTTAACATCTCCCAGAATCCCTACATAAAGCAACTGAATTAAAAATGCAAAAGTATGGACAACATTTACAATAAAACTAGATGACAAGGAATCCTGCAGGCCCCAAAACTTAAGCAGTTAAAGGCAAACAATGGACAGCCACCATGTATTAGCAGTGAGGGAAAAAACCAAAAACAAAAACAGGGAAGCAACGGAGCATCTGATAAACCTGAGAACAGAAGCCCAAACAGCCAGCAGATTACACCAGAGAGCGTGTGGATGTGTTCATCTGTTCTTGTGCTGCTGTAAGAATACTGAGACCAGGTAACTTAGAAAGAAGAGGTTTATCTGATTCACTATTTTAGGGCATCTGCATCTGGTGCAGGCCTCAGGCTGCTTCCACTAAATGCAGAAGAGCAGCCAGCCAGCATGGGCAAGGAGCTCACATGGCTAGAGAGGAAGCGCGAGAGAAGGGAGGTGCCAGGCTCTTCTTAACAACCCCCTCTCGTGGGAACTAATCCATTCCCTGAGAACTCGCTCACTCAGCAGGGAAGGCTCCCACTAGGCTCTACGTCCCACAGTGCCACACTGGGGATCAGACTTCACCATGAACCTTGGGGGGATAAACATCCAAACTGCATCAGTGGGCCAGTGGGAGAACTGCTGCTGGACGTGGAGGGCTTCTGCTCCCACAGCAGGTGACCACAAAGGATCCATGGCAAGGCCCCACGGACTCCTGAAACTGATCTGCCATGGCTCCTTCCTGGAGCTCCTTCCCAAACATAGCCCCACAGAGAGAAAAAGTGCTGAACATGGAGTGAACACTACGGGACCGGGACGAGAGAAACAGAAACCGAAGGTTCAGATCAAAGTGGGGGAGGTCCCACAGGCCAAAGATGGGACAATCTGAACTTCAAAATGGGTAATAACAGAGACTGATAGAATGGGATAAAAAA